TTTATGTGAACGTTAAAAGTTCTGAGCATTTAAATAATGTCGGCGTTCCTTACAGTGCACGCGTTAATATTTACATTCCTTCCATGAGATTCTTGCTGTAGTCAACAGTTCATTCAATGTGTGTGCGTTGTTTCCATAAACACTGAGAACTTTGTACATTTGATTTTTAAAAAAGTTATTTAATCAGTAATCACAGTGCGTTGCCAGTGTATGCCCCTTGGTCATTGATAAATAGCACATTACTTATTTTTGGGTGTATCTGCTCGCCACCTCCTTCACCCCATCTCCTCACTTCACACAGCGTGCGATCTGAGCAATCATTTATACTCTTGGAAACTGTGTTGATCATTCATCCAGCGGTCTTATCAGTTTCCAAGAAAAACTCAAATGAACGAAGCCTACTTAAACCGTCATTGATCCTTGCAGCGTTCTACTTCAATCCTAAGAATTCTTGAGTTTTTCATAATTGAGTTCGAAAACTGGAGGGAATCTGAAACCGAATGATATTGTGAATTAATTCTGTTTGCAGTTCTATTCATAAGCTGACTGATGGCATTAAATGATGATTGACAACTGAAATGCTATCAATATTAACTATCAATTCCGCGTGATGACATGTTGTTGAGCCAATCCATTGCGCAACTCTTACAAATAGTGATGAATCATATCCGGAATTCAGATTTTTTTTAATCACAAAGGAGTGTTTCATCAAAATGCTTTGAATGCATTGTCGGCTGAGTGTTTTGAAATGAAATTCAACAAAGTTCATCAGAGAATGATAATCAGTTGCATTGTCAGATGATAACAGTTGATGTCAGATGATTGATAACAATTGATTTTCGATGAGGTTTTTTACTTGAACGTTTTTATAGTATGTTCCCATAAATCATTACAAATCCCTTTGTTGTAATAATTTTAGTATTGTTGATTGTTATATGATCACTTACAATTAATCATTGTTTTTTGTTTTTGTTTATTTATTATAATTTGAAATCGACTGAAGGTGAATGACACGTTGATAGTACACGTTATGTAGCGATATATTCGAATCGTCTGTCATTTGCTATGAATAAATTGCGTTTATTCATGAATTAATTCTCTTTGATCAGTCGTCTGAGAATAATTTTTCATTTCGATGATTCATTCCGAATTCGTTTGCGATTTTTGGTGTGTGCGATCGTTTTACATATTCTCGTACAATACTTATTGTACAAGAATAGACACTGATACAAATCGTCGTCAAAAATTTCAGTCTTTTTTGCATTTTGCAATTTATCTTATATTTCTTGACAAATAACAATTCATCTAAATGAACGATAATTGTTCGCTTCATTTGGAATGAGTGATTCAACCACTAATAATGAGAATATTATATATTGTATATTTATGGAATATTGTATATTTATGAGTCTTATTTACAGCTGACAACGACGATTATAATTAATGTAAATTAAAAAAGTTAATAGATGAGAAGATTTCCCAATTTTCACATTCTGTAAGACACTTATCGAATTTCTTCAATCCCTCAGTGATTCATCACTCCGTCATTCGTTCTTCTCTCAACTATTAGTTCCATGATTTGTTAGTTTCAACGATAAAATCTTGAATCCATCAAAAATGAATTTTTTTTGCAACGCGTGCTCAGTCAGAAATGATGCGAAGATATGTGTCATAAATATGATTGCATAAGAAAGTCGACATCGAATTATTTGAGGCAGCAATTTTAAACTCGTTTGTATTGAATAATGCTGAAACAATTGCCACTAAATCGCTCAATCATTTGACGATCGCTTTGATAACTGAACCTCAATGATGAATGCCGTTTACACTGGTTCAGCTTTAAATTCACGTTTAACTTTGCAACTTACTTCAATAATTCAAACAGTGAAACATTTTTCGAATGCGGTAAAGCGAATTAATTTATGGATATCTATTGAGAATGTTTTCTTCGATGATGATGCTTCATGCAAATAAATGAGTTTTTAATTTTTTTTATTCCAATACCGTTTTTCGAAATCTTAAATAGGAACTCAAAAAATTTTTACCTAAATTTCCACTATCGGCGCAGTAAACTTATGACTCGATTTAGTTCTTGTCAATCATTTATTTCATCATCAAAAATGCACTCAACATCTTTGGTACTCATTTTTTCCGGTACTTTCTTGAAAATTCTCTGATTTTTTCGAAAAAAGCAATCGATGAACTGAAATATAAAACAGAAATAGTTAAAATAAGTCATATTCATCATAATAATAATCAACCAGTTGTTGACCCCTTGTAGAAGTGTTCTTCAGTTTGATGGCGTTGATGTAAGAAGATTCATTGAAAAGGTAGTCAGTCGTTGATTTTAGTGAAAAGGTCACATCTACGGCAACGACCACTAATCATAGAGCGTTTAACCTCTTCTGCCATAATCGCTCGTTCCCCTTTACCTGTACGTCGTTCGTTGTGCATAAGCAGTCATTCGCTCACCACTCACAAACACACCAAATCAAGGCTTCTTGTTAGCCTCGTTACAGGTATGTGCTGATGACAAACTAAATGCCACAAAGCGCTCTATCGTGCATCCTATCTCTTCGTGTGCTCCTCTCAGTGTACTCCTCTCTCAAAACTCTGTAATCTTTTAGTCAAACAATTTTATTTCACTTCTTTGTTCAACGATCCTTTCGATTTCTTTTCCTGTGTTCTCTAGTGCTGCTTATCTCCGACAGAGATGGCCTCGATAACACTTTCTCTGTAAAGGTGTGTTATTGCTGCATCATCATCGTCATCATCACCAGTAATATCGCATCGCTATAATATCGTTCACTCATTTACTTTTACTATGCATGTATCCTTGTCGTTCGTGTTTTGTTATTGCTAAACCATCCAGTGTTGTACGTATTGCTGCTATATGTCAAGAATACGTGTTTTATTGTTGCTTATTCAGAGTCAATCCAAAACTTCAATCGATTATACGTTCATGGCAATGTGAGAATACGAATAACTTTTTCGATGTTCATTTCAGCTGACAGACTAATATTACTGTGTAATAATTGCATTTGAGACATGCGCAATAGTCCTTCACAATTGAATATTGATCGCGTGAAGTTTCGATTCGAATTTGTTTGTTCCTTGTTTTGATTCCTCTTAACTGCTTTGATTCCTCACTCTGCTGTCGTCTAAAAATGTTTTTTTTTTGAAGTACAGTTCTCAGAATTTCCCAACGTCATTGTGAGGTATAATTTTGGACAGATTTAGTTACGACATAACTACGAATGATGTAGGCGTTTAACTTTGATCATATGGATTCAGTATGCCTTTATTCACTATCAGTATGCCTATGATCATATGGATCAGTATGCCTTTATCATCCATTTAGGGAATGGGTAGTGTTGAGAATGTTTTGCTGGGCACTCTTATCAAGATGGTCAGTGAGATAGCCATCGAAAGTAATGGGAATGTGATATGGGGAA